GCCCTTTGTCTAAGCCGGCCAGAATTTGTTTAACTTAGTTCTATCTCACTCCTCACCCAAGCGGTTTAGTTACCGGTCTGTCTTGCTAGTATTCTTAGAAACTTACATGAAATTGTACTTAAAGTTTTTAAAAATAAAGCAAGCTATGTCTTACGGTGAGGAGAACTTTTTTTTTTTTTTTACAACCCCCTCCCCCCCGAAAAGAAGCCTTTGGTGAACCTTTCAAAAGGAGATCATGATTTTCACAGTGGGGAGAATCAAACCTTGGTTGACCTGGCTTACAAATTTTGAGAATTTTGAATGTCAGGTTTTCTTAAAGTGGGATTCAGGCCATATGGCATGGACAGGATAATGTTGGGAATGAATAGATGCTGTACCATGGACCCCAGGGAGGTTTTAGCAAACGTTTTAGCTTTTATGTGCTAGACCTGATTGAATGCCACTGGCTTAATTAGTATATTGAATGTGATAGGTATGGTGACTTTTCTTCTGTTTGCTCCTCAAACTTCTGCCCCTTGCACAACAGATCCTCTCTGTCTTGGAGCAGATAGAAACATTCAGAACAATGGAAGACAGCCAAGTGGAGAGCCGACCAAAGGACATGGTTGCTCATCTGATTCTCTGAACCCAAGATATAAGGCAGAAACTTTGCATTTGAATCCTGTTTTTTACAATTTACTTTAATAATATTTCCTTCCAGTATGTGTTGTTATTTGTAATTTGAAACATATTAAAGCTAATTGAATTTAGGCCTCAGAAATTTGGACTTGAACGAGCCTATTTGGGTGAAAAGGGTTATTTGTGTGAAATTGTGGGGACGTTGTTTCACCATTTTATGATGAAACCAGATACCCATGTAACTCCTTCAGAAACCCAAAGGAATGAAACTTCGGAGCTCGAGGAGAAGATAGAATGCATGTTTTGTTGAGAGGGAGGGGAGATGTGTAAGATGACACAGCTCTCAGTAGCAGAGTTCCGGTTGCACATCTTCAAAGAGGATGCCGGTTACAGAGGTTGTCGGTCTGCACAGGAGAGTTTGCAAGGACCTTACCTTGTAACCCTTGGCACTTCTGCATGTTTAATATTACTAAAACAGGGTTACCTTATTTTTATTTTTTTTTAAGATTTTATTTATTTGAGAGAGAGAATGAGCATGAGCAGGGGGAGGGGTAGAGGGAGAGGGAGAAGCAGACTCCCCGCTGAGCAGGGAGCCTGAGGCGGGGCTCCATCCCAGGGCCCCGGGATTATGACCTGAGCCAAAGGCAGACGCTTAACTGACTGAGCCACCCTGGTGCCCCCAAACAGTGTTACTTTAAAGAAAATATCCACTAAATCAAAGTTTTCCTAATTCTAAGAGGTCTAAGGGCTCATTCTGAGTTGTTGAGATTTTCCCAGGTTTAGAGGTAATTTGTAGACGTAATTGATTAGAAAGGGCTACAGGTTGAGAACTGACCAAAAAGTCCTAGGTCAATCAGAAAATAGGAAGTTGACAATAATAGCAAAATTGCAGCTGAGAGAAAGGCTCTCTAAATCCAAAGAACACTGAAATAGCTGTTAGCATGGAGAGGCAGTTTACCAGTAAATAAATGCTCGCCACATCAACATTCCCATTTCCCACAGCTGTGTGAGGTGGAAGTTAAAAGAATAGATTGTTTTCTTTCTCACCCTCTTTCATTTTATTCTTGCTGGTTAGTGGAGAAATGAGCTTGGATAGAAAAATCTCATTAGAACTTTGATAAGTTGCTTTTTGAAATAGAGTTGTTTCCATGCCACAGACATTTGGAGTGAAGTATGTTTATTGAAATATATTTTTATAGACAATATTACAGAACCTGTAATTGAAAACTTATGGCAGCAGTTTGGGGAGTGATATGTTCTTAATGTTAATTTGTGGATTCACTCCGTACTCCCTTCTGCTGTTTTAGAACCATTGGCTGAGTGAACGTTTTCCAAGAGTCTTTTCAGATCTAAACCGTGTTTCATGGAATGGAGTATTTGGTGCTTAAATAATGTATAAATCCAGTTGGACAGGATCTGCCTGTCAGTTTTATTAACTTTGACCTTTTCTCCCATTATAAAGATGGTTCGGTAAATATTTAATGGGCCCCTTATAGATCTTGACAGCTGGAGCTGTGTTCCTGGAAACTGGGATACATATATATGATTAACAAATGTCGCTTAATCACTATGAGTCAGCTTTGAAGGGCAGGTTTTGTTTTTTTGGAAAGAGGAGTCCTTCCCTCTCCGTGTGCTCTTAGAGGTGCAGTGTATGTTGAGAGCGCCCAAGATGGTAGACGTTTTAAACCCTTTAAAAGACAGCAGCTAGCATGCATTTCTGCTGTTTGGGGTTTTTTTGTTTGTTTGAGCAAATGATCAAAATGATGCCAGGTGGGCAAAATCATCCTGCCACTCTGCATAGTTAGCAGGACTCTTCCACTCAAAGAGTCAGCAGGGCCGGAATGGCTGAGCTTGCATGGACCCTGATAAGATACAAAGAAGGAGGAGAGCCAAAAGGAGAGATGATTCCTTGAGCCAGGAGGGGACCCCTGCCAAGCTGTCTTTTCCTTTAATTCCATAAAACCCCATGCATATTGCACTCATTGCAAATTCTGGTGGGGAAGATCGAAACCCAAGTAGCTGACATTTTGAAACATTGTCTTTCAAACTTGTACTGTCCCTTGCTTCCATTGATTTCCCATTTAAGAAATCTGTAGGAGAAAAACAAATTTGAGCAAAATTCATTGGTCTGAGTTGTTAGAGCCAAATTATGCCCCCCCCTTTCCACCCTGAGAAGAGCTCCATTTTTATTATGAATGTGATACATCTTTGTCTTGTATTGTGCAGCCATAAGGCTCTCACAGCAAATCGACCAAGTAAATCAAGAGCCTGTTAAAAAGCAATATGGATGCTCCAAACACAGACATTTCGGTCTTACTGGGTCACTGGATATCTTTATTTTTATGGCCACTTTCAAGAAGCAGATCATTTTGGTTGGTTCTGTTTCCTTGCTCTCTCTATTTGTACGCAGTCCACTGGCTTTAGGTGAGCCATTTATTTTTCAGAACGTTATTACCCTTTGCATGCAGGGCCCAGCCCCTTTGATATGGTGGTCACCAGTGTCATTACCAGGAACTATAATGTAGCTGACTCTGCAAAGGAAATCTATGCCTTGAAGGAGCATTTTGAAAGGAAATTGATTCAGAGCTTCAGAGTGAATTACTATTTGTATGTTTAGTTAATTCTAAATAAATGTTTGAAGGACCTTGCTTAATTTGAGAAGGGAAGAAGAAACATATTGGATGTTATAAATGGTCTCAATCCAAATTCTTAGCTTGGCATTTTCACATTTGAATGTTTTATTTACATCTGTTCAAAATTGGAATACCTTTCAAGGATAATTTTATTATTGAGAGATTGATGACAACTCTTAAGATCTACATTACCAAAGTATGGGATTAAAAAAGGAAGATAGCAGTCACTGTCACATGTCAGATTGGATATAAGCTTCACTTGGCAAAGAGTGAGAACGATGAGTTGTATTTTAAAACAAAAGATCCTGATGGTAGGAGATGCGGGTGGGGAGGGGGAGACTGACTGCATTGGGGCATAAGGGAGCTTTTGCAGTGGTGGACATTGTCTGTACCTTGACTGGGATGGCAGTTTCACAGTATAGACATTATCATAACTCATCAAACTCTACACTGAAAATGTGTGCATTTTATTTTATGTAAATTGTAAGTCAATAAGGTGGATTTTTTTTTTAAAGTCCTGCTGGGTTTACAATTAGGCAGTGTTGCTTCTCCTTTCCAATAGCGAAATGGAGGTCCTGAGAAGTAAAATGACGTGTCCTGAGTAACTTCAAAGCTCAGCAGTTTGTCCAGAACAAAGCAAAGGATGCAGGCCTGGGGCTCATTGAAAGTATTTTGTGTCCTTAGCGGCACTGTGTTGTTCCAATTACATGTACACAGAGTGAAATGAACTCCATCCCGTTCTCTTTGGTGAGCCTGTATCCATTTGTGTGCTTTGTTGTAAGATATACTCAGGAGCTTATTCTTAAGACTGATATTTGTATCTTCAGCACTGAAGACAGTGGCCCAGTGGTTCCGAATGTTGAGGCTGACCACACAGTATGTTTCATATACGTTTATGACAGGCCATGTTGTGCACCCAGTTAATGCAGTAGGCTACCCAGTTATGTGGTTTTTATTATAAGCAAGAGTTCCCAGAACTAATTTGTCTTTAAGGAATCCCTGTGGATCTTCTTATAAAGAATGACATAGACTTTAAAAAACCATTGATACAAAGCATATATGAGATAGTGAAAAATAAAGAAGAAAGAAGAAATTACTTAAGTTCTGCTACTTAGGAATAGACCGTTAACATTTTTTTTTTTTTAAGATTTTATTCTATTTATTTGAGAGAGAGAGACACACAGACTGTGCAGGTGAGGGGAGGGGCGGGGGGGAGAGAGAGAGAATCCCAAGCAGACTCCCCGCTGAATGTGGAGTCAGCGAGGGGCTCTGTCTCACGACCCTGAGATCATGACCTGAGCCAGAACCAAGAATCGGATACTTAACCCACTTAGCCACCCAGGTGCCCCGATTACTGTTAACATTTGAGAGACCATCTTTTTAAGTGTCGCTCTGTTTACAATGTAACCTGTTTTTGTTTTTTATTCAACAAAATGATGTTGTAAATTTCTTTCCATATCTTAACCAAGTTCCCAGTTATTGTTGGGCATTCAGGTGGTCCCCGGTTCTTCATCATTAGGTAATGCTGTGATGAACAACCTTGTCCACGCTCCTTTCCCTGTTTGTCTCAGCAGCTCCTTACAAGTACATTCCTTGAAGCAAAATGTTAGCTGCTGCATTTGCCGTGATTTAGAATGTTCTAAGGGGGGGGGGGTGGTTCAGATACATCAAGTATTGAGTTTCATACCCCTTGGCCTCCGTTTACCAAACGGTATTTTTCGTCCCCTTTTGTTTTGTTTGTCTGTGCAGTTGCAGTACCATGCAGGTCTGGCATCTGGCCTTTTGAATCAACAGTCCTTGAAACGCTCTGCTAACCAGATGGGAGTATCTGCTAAACGGAGACCGAAGGCTCAGCCCACGACTCTTGTCTTACCACCTCAGTGAGTAATGGGTTTGAAACAGTTCTTTTGTCCTGGGTGAACTCTCCTTGGTGCTTGTTTTTGGTGAATGGAAAGTTATTTTTTGTGAAATTGTTCTTCCTTTTGCCAAGGTACCTGCTAAGATTAGAAACCCAGCACACAGGTAACATCGTTTTGCATAGATCTTAAGTGATGCAGTTATGATGAGCTTCGTAATTGACAATACTTTGTGTGTGACTTTTCCCCCTAGGATTTAAAGATACCTCATAGCCTTTTCTTTATTTCCTTGTCACAGTCCCAAAGTTGGCAGAGCCTAAGTACGGTTGTCCTTATTTCACCGATGAGACAGCTGAGGAGCACATTTTGATAAGCTGCAGGCCGCCTAGAGAATCTGGGGGAGCTGGGATTTGAGTCGTGCTAGGCTCACTTGTTCTCTTTTAAACTCGTAAAATGTGAACCCTTCTTTTTCCTAGTAGGAGAGAAAAGAGATACTGTGAGGTTCAGAAATGTACAGTGTGGTGATTGTTTTCACATGTGCATACCTCCATGTAGCTCCATTCAGATCAGGCCATTTGGCCACCGCTTCCAGAATCCCGAGAGGGCTCCTCCCCATGTTCCCAAGTCTGTACGCTTGCTGCCTCCCTACCCAGGTTTAGCACTGTTCACCTTCTTTGAACGATTGATTTTTACCTATTCTTGAACTTCATATCATTGGAATCACACAATATGTAATCTTTTGTTATCAGCTCTTTTTCACCCAGCATAATGTCTATTAGATTTATCCAGGTTGTTTGTTCTTTTTTGTTGCTATGTAATATTCTTCCGACTATGCCACAAGGGATTCATCTGTTTACTTGTTGGGTTATTTTGTGCTAGAAGCCCTGGTAGATGAAGGCCAAGGCTCACTCTGTGTGGAATCAGAAATGTGAACACGCCAGTCTTTGCTGATAGCTTCCCTGTGAGCACGCACACTCCCCTGAGGTAGGCAGTACTCCCAGACGGCTTGGCTGGGACTTTAGACACGTTCCTTAGCGTGTCCTGCCCTCCTGTTGTACCCTCTTTTGGTTACAGGCTCAGTTACAAACTACAGTTGACACCTTGAACAATGCAGGGGTCACGGGCACAGTCGAAGATCTGTGTATCTGTGTATTACTTTTGGTTCCCCCCAAACTTAACTACCAATAGCCTAATAGTGACTGGAAGCCTACAGATAACATAAACAGTCGATTAACATGTATTTTGTATGTTAAGTGTATTATATACTCTATTCTTACAATAAAATAAGCTAGAAGAAAGAAAATGTTATTAGGGAAATTATAAGGAAGAGAAAATACATTTATAGTACTGTATTGACAAAAATATCACATATAAGTGGACCCGTCCACTTCTAGCCCATTCAGGGATCAGCTGTACATTTTTAAATTTCCAGTCCAGAGGAGTGTTTCCAGGTGAGACTCAGTTGTTTGCCTTTACGCAAGATTTCACTTATTTTCTGTTTGATTAGCAAATATTGTTACCTGTTATCTGCAGGCACTGTCCTAGGCTGTGGAGGATACAATCATGAGCAACACAGATGTGGTCCCTTCTTCCTGAAGCTTTTTTTTGCTGGGGAAAGAAGACCAAAAAAAACCCCCCAAAGCCCTAAACAAATTAACAAATTAATAATTTCCGGTTATGATTGGTGCTTAGAAAGGAACACATAGGGTAGAAAGGGATGGGATTGGGGAAACTGCTTAGACCGGGTGGTCAGAGGCCTCTCCAAGGAGATGACGTTAGGTAGAGAGAGGCCAGCAGAGAGCTGGGAGGTCACGGAGGATGCCTCAGGATCTTTTCCCTCATCACTGGACACTTGAACCACCATTTCTATGATTTTCAGGTTTTCTTCACAATTAACATTTGCTTCCAGGAGAAGAGTAGCATAACTAACCAGCCTCCAACAAGTTATTTTTTGCCTGCTGCATGCACAGGTGCACGTTTTTCAGACACTTGGAGTGATGCAAAGTAGAGAATTTTCACTGTTTGGTAGAAGGCTTCTGAAGGAACATTATCTGTTGTTTCTCATATGTTGATTTGGTGATTCTGCAAATCTCCAACTTTCAGCTCTCCAAAGTCTAATGGGCCTTGTAACTTGTCATTTTCCCTGCGTGGATTGTCTACTGAGGCAAGATGTTTGGTGAGAAGTGAAAGACTTTCTAATGGTCCCATTAGACTGGAGCCAAAAAGTGTTTGTTGCTAACTCTCTCTTGACAAAAGTCAGCTCTTAGTCCATCTGTTCGCCATTTGTTCATTTGCATTGGCTTGAAACCTGTTTACAGGTGACATGCTATTATGAGGACACTTAGAAACTATTTTAAGCACCAAGGCAATCAACAGACTCTGTTCTCATGCCAAAAAAAAAAAAAAAATGGAGGTGTTCACAACTGTCGTTATAAATTTATAATAAATCACTCAAAATACTTAGTTTCAGAGAGGAAAGTGGTTACTGTGTCCTAAGAATACAACTTCGGAATGATTTCCTATACTTAGTAGCCTGTCTCCTGTGAAAATTGACTGCTGCCTTTTCACATCATGGAGCTTTTGGGGCTCACGCTATTGTGGATCCCTTCAAAGACCTGTCCAGTAGGCAGGATCTATAGCTAAAGGACATTGAATGCACTTTTATTGAGCACCTACTATGTGCTTCTTGTTGTGGTAGAGTCAGGAATAGAAATACCAGCAAGACAAAGCTGCTGGATTAATTGAATCCAAAAATTTTTAAATTAAAACATAGGCCACTAGTAATATATACATATTGTAGACCTTGAACAAACCAAAGATGACACGAAAGGAAAACATAATAATACCATCACACAGACAAAGTTATTGCTAAGGTTTTGATGGATATTATTCTCAAATTTTTCTCTGCATATATAATGTTTAAAAACAAGAAACAACCTCCAAAAAGGATTATAGTGTAATGTTCTGTATGACATCTCAACGTTTATTGAATGTAGTTGTTAGACTTGAAGGTCGTGTAATTTTATCTATGGAGCATTTAAATTTGCATATTAATCAGCCATGTTGTGGTTGTATTCTGTAGAATATTGCTAATTACAAAATTTTTATTACAAGCATGGCATGACCATAAACTAACTTTGTCATTAAGGAAATCCCTTATAAAACAACACCCAAATCCTCCAGGACTGGTGCATTAGTCATCTATTGCTGCATAACAGATCGCCCCAAAACATGATTTGACAACAAGTAAACATGATCTCTCACATTTTTCGTGGCTCAGGAATCTGAGAGTGGCTTGGCTGGGTGGTTCTGGCTCAGTCTCTCAGAAGATTGCAATCAGCTATCAGCCAGAAATGCAATCATCTGAAGGTTGGACTGAGGTTTGGAGGTCTTGTCCAGGGTAACTCACTCACATGGCAGGCAAGTTGGTGCTGGCTGTTGACAAGAGACCTCAGTCTCTCTCCATAGGAGGCTTGAGTACCCTCATGACTTGCGGGTGACTTCTCCCAGAGCAAGCCGTCTAAGAATGAGAGCCAGGCAGAGCCAATCCTTTTTATGACCTAGCCTCCAAAGGCACAGCATCCATTCCACCCCATTCTGTTGGTTAGAAATGAGTCACTAAGTCTGATTGATGTTTAAGGGGAGGGGATGAGGCTCTCCCTTTTGAAAGAAGGATTGTCAGAGAATTTGTGGATGTTTTTTAAAACCACTGCAGTTGCCAATGAGGAGAGTCATTGCATAGAGGGAAGAATGGCTGAGCCTGTAAGCCCCATTCACTTATTTATTCGGCAGATTATTTACTCAGGGCCTACAGGTGTTTGGTCCTATGCGCTGTGCTGGGGATTTGGAGATGCATAAGATAGAATTTGGCTTTCACGAAGCTCTGAGCAGAAACAGAGGAACGAACAAGTAGCAGGGAATCCTAGTAATGTGTGCCAAGTCCTAATGACATGATCCCAGAATGCTCAAGAAGGCCACGGGCAGGGTGCTGAGAGAGATCCACACTTAGGGAGGCCTAGCCAAACTTCGCTGGATTTCTCCACTGCCAGGTGAAGGATGGAAGCTTGACTTTATTAAGAGAGCTTGATGCTTTCTCACATAGGCTTACAGGATTCTAAGGAAAGGGTTTATTTCTCCGTGGAGGAAGCCAGTGGAGGACCAGTGCTGGGCTCCATACTCACCCTCCTCTGGACCTCTGTTGAAGCAGTTACAGACGGGTTTTTGCACTGGCTCATGTCAGCATCTGGATGGTAGTGAAGTCTGCCACAACAAAACGGCTGGCTCTGCCTGAGTGTGCTGAGACCACAGGCATGGCGAGAATGCAGGAGATGTGTACAGTGTGTTTGTTTTTAAATGCAGTTGGCTTGAACAGTAGTGGTCTTTGAAGGCTCTGATTCTCCCCTTAGTTCCCATAGGATTAGTGATTCATGGGATTAATGATTCATATATTTCTCCTCCTCCAAAGAAGCTTGTAAGAAGACAAAGATGCTGTTCGTGATGAAAGATCTCTTATCATGTGTTAGCATTCAGAGGGCACTGATGAAGCCACCTCACTTCTGTGATTCCCAAGTGGTCGTGTTGAGTCCGTTGTGGAAAGGGCCCTGTTGTTTTCAGAAAGGAGCCGTGTCCCCTGTTCCTGGGTAAACATTATCAGGCTTTTGCCCCTTGTAGGAATGAGATCAGCTAAGAGTAGCTGTCTTACTTGATTGATCTGCAGGTTGCCTATTGAGATATCTGTGTATTTAATACATGTCAGATGTGGCCATGTTTACTTGTGCTCTCTTAGATAACAGTCTCACATTCACGACACATTATTCAGCCTGCTTTTCTGTTAACATCGATACGGGTTTTGATCCATATCGTCAAGCCGAATGGCCTGGGACACCTGGCGGCGGCCTGATGAAGTGCTGACTCGGTGGCAGCGAGGTGAGCGGATACTTACGTGTTCTTACTTCGCACATATAGATCTCATTTAGATTTGAGGGGAAAAATTGTCCTACAGGAAGGTTATTTTTAAAAGTATT